CTATTATAACCTGTGCCAAGTTACAATAAAAATTATATAACAACTACAACCATTGTATATTTCAATTCTAAAGCAAAGCCTTAATGTATATCTCCCAACTACTAGCCAAATCTGGATACCTCTTTAACTTGGGACTCTGATTCAAGTCATGTGAAGTAATGCTATATCTTCTAAAAGTAAACAAGATATGTCAGTTGTAATATACTGAGTCCATTTGAATTTGGATGTAAACAATGCCAATCTTTTGAAGGGGGTAAGCCAAATTTCTCACTTTTTGGAAAAAATTTTTGGAAAACTGATAACAAGATGAAAAAAATGAAATAAAAAGCACTTAAACTAATAAAAGGAGTGTGGCTAAAGAAAAAACATAAAATCTGTTGTACTCCTAGGTTCTAAAGAAAGGTCTAGTAGTTTCATTGACAGAAATATTGTTCTACCAGAATTTGCTATGTTAAAGAGCACCTGTATTTTTTTCCTTTGTTTGCATTGCTTCTGGTTTGTATACCAAACATGAGACAGAGTCCTCTAGGTCAGGTTAATCATTTATATTTCCATAAACCACTACTAAAGTCTTTTTAGGACTATAACTTATAGAGCTTCGTTGATAGAAATTTACCACCAGAATCTATAGAGCTTGTCAAAAGTGCCACCTGCCTTTTTCTCTTAACTAGGCTTCTGGCTTGCATGCCAAATAATAGTGAGGAGTCCCTATAGCTAGTTAACCTCTACTACAAACCACTATTGTGGCTACACACCTCTCTAACAGCCTTTACACTTTTCTTAGATTGAAAATATTAGTTCAAATAATTGTTGGGAAGAGTTTTTTGAACTTTTATTTTATTTTGTTTATTTTATTTATTTATTTATTTTTTTTGATCTTTGCTAATGTACTTATCTTTATATAATAATCTTAGGTTCAATACTGAATAATCATATAAAGTTTTAATAATATTACTATAATAAATAGCTCTAATGTTAGTAGTTATTAGTATTTAATATCATGAATGATTTTAAAATAGATGATATGCAATTTTTAAATTTTTTGAATTAGCTTTTTTTTTAAAGGATAAATTAGAATTTAGGTTAGCAACATTAGCAAAAGAGTATAGGTTGATCATAGAGTTTATATTTTTAGATCGAAACTCTCAAATTCCACGACATCAAATGAAAAAGTGAAAAGAATGTATTTATTAATATAATAGATAAAATTTATTGATTTTGCAAAAGTGAAAAGGATGTATTTATTAATAATAGATAAAATTTATTGATCTCAATAATAAAATTAATATTTTTTCTTTATAAAGGTATTGAGGGTATTTCTTATATACATAATAATGTGTCTTAATATTTAAGTAAACCTTTAAAGACCAATATTAATACTACATATTGTTGTTATTCTACTATACTACATATCGTCATTATTCTACTATCATCTTACAATTTGATTGGTCGAACGGCCAATAAAATCACGAGATGATCATCAAAATCTAACCAATCACAATGAAAGTTCGCTATGCTAATTATAATAAAATTTCAAAAAAATATAATAAAATTTCAAAAAACATAATAAAATTTCAAGCTATTAGCCAATCAGAATTTAGTATTCTGTCTCAAATTTGGCCACTTTTTAAAAAAGTTGTTGGTTTAAGGATGCCCGCACTGTAGTTTTATCAAAATTGACATCCGAACTACCATAAAAAATTAAGAAGCAAACATAATTATACTTGCGCTAGCAAAACCTGGACAAATCCCAAACCCCAAAACAAATTGCTTTTATAAAAAATTAAATCAAAAAAATAATCTTAATATTTTGTAAATATATTAAATATAGCTATAAAAATATATATCATTTGCTTAAATGAAGATTAATAAAGTTTTTAAGATATCTAACTTGGCTTGAGTTTGGGATTTGGGCGTGGACAAACTCAAATTATAGTAATTTTGGGATTTGGCGGCAAGTATAAACATAATATGCCACGATTTTCGCGGTCCTGCGAACCGTCTCAAATAAAGATCACGAATGTTTTGGAATTTCCACGCTATCTATCGGCTTACTACCTTTTAATAATGCATTTGTGATCTCTCGCGTGTTAATGGGCTTGCTCGTGTACATATGATCCGGGTGCTTTTGTGGTTCTAGAGTTGGTTTCACTTTGTCGGCTTTTAAGAATCGCTTTTTGAACTTACTATAAGAAAATTTTCCAAGATTTTCCCAAATATTGTAAGCAGTAGGCCGTTTAAACGGATCTGGATCCATGCATTGCTCAGCCAATTTAATATAACAATCCGGTGCACCGAGGGCAAATCCGGGTCGAAAACCGTTGCAAATTTTTATCAAAAGTTCGATATCAAATTTATGACCATCGAAAGGTCTTTGTCCGGTTGATACTTCTGTCATGATAACTCCGAAAGCATAAATATCAGCTGCCTGTGTAAAATTTTTACCCATTAAAACCTCTGGTGCAACATAAGGCAAAACGCCATAAATCCTATCTGAGTCTTTTTCATCTGTTTTTTTAGACAATCCTAGATCTGAGATATAAGAATGCACACTTTCGCTAATGCCGCCGTCTTGTAAAATATTTCCACTATGAAAGTCCATATGAATATAACTTGCTTTATGAATGTTATATAAATCATATGCAATTTCCGTAAGCAATATTAATTTAATTTTCCAAGTAAGATTTTGAAAATTATTTCTTAAAAATTTATAAAGGTTCCCATCGTTGGCATATTGAAATACCATCATATATTCTTTTGTTTCCATGTTTTGAGTCAATCCATATATTTTAAGCTTACTACCATGTAATCTACATCTCATATAATTGTCAAACTTTATATTTTAAATAAATATATTAGTTAATGTATATTTAATTAAATTAAATTTGATTTAACTTACTTCTTTTAAAAAACTATGAGAGTTTTCTTTAGGTCCAGATAAGGTCTTAAGTGCAACGGTACTAGATGGTTCACGTGCTTTTATATATTCTCCGCTAAAATCATTTTTTTTAATTTCTTCAATCTTTCGTATACCATCTAACCAAATTGCAGAGAATACAGTGCTGAATCCTCCTTGACCGATTTTTTTGATATTATTTAGTTTATAAAATGGAATCCATTCAATCATACTTTCATGATCAAAAGTTCTAAGTTGGAACCTTTTCATACAATAATCAATTTCCTTATTCCCACTTGTCATTCTTTGAATCATTAAGTTTGGATCACAAGTAAGACACCATGCTTTATTTGTGTTATGTTTGCCACAATGTGTACATTCTCCATATCTAGGATTTCGTGAAGTATAGCTTAGAATGGTATGAAACTCATTTTCATCGTTTTTAATCCAGTCTTTGTAGTTGCCATGAATATTTGACTCTACGATTTCGCGGTGGTAAGAAAAAAATACGGCTATTTTCCAGATTCCATCAGAATTTCCAGCTTTGGCGGACTTCTGGTAATGCGTGAAAGCTTCGTTTAAACTCTTGTCAACTCCAATCCCATTCTCATAACAATATCCAACCTGATACATTCCACTATCGTCGCCCATGTCGGATAATTTTTGATAATAATCGAAGGCCTTGCGTTCGTTCTTTTCAATTCCAATTCCATATTGATAACAATGTCCAACATTATATGTTCCATCAGTAGAACCTATATCGGCTGATTTTTGATAATATTCGAAGGCTTTGTGTTCGTTCTTTTCAATTCCAATTCCATAATGATAACAATGTCCAACATTATATGTTCCATCAACAGAACCCATATCGGCTGATTTTTGATAATATTCGAAGGCTTTGTGTTCGTCCTTTTCAACTCCAATTCTGTGAAGATAACAGTGTCCAACATTATATGTTCCATCAACAGAACCTATATCGGCTGATTTTTGATAATATATAAAGGCCTTGTGTTCGTTCTTTTCAACTCCAATTCCATATTGATAACAATGTCCAACACTATATGCTCCATCAACAAAACCCATATCGGCTGATTTTTGATAATATTCGAAGGTCTTGTATTCATTCTTTCCAACTCCAATTCCTTTTTTATAATGGTTTGCAACTTTATAATAAAATTCACCTGCTTCACGTCTGTCCTTTCCATCTTCAAATACTCCAAATTCATATAGACAAATCTGTAATTCGTCAAAGGACCCTAATAGTTCGTTGCGTTCGTCAATTACAAATTTCATACTTATAACAATGTCCAGCTGATTTTTGATAATTTTCGAAGGCCTTGTATTCGTTCATTTCAACACAAATTCCTTAAAATTAAATAAACAAATTGATTAGAAATACAAGATTTGTCAACCAAATTCGTATAAATCTCAATCAAATTTGTAATGTTACATGAAATTTGATTTGGATATCTTGTGATCTAGTAATTGTATTTCGATGATTTTGGTATCATTCGAATCGTCTCATCAAGACGATTCGAATGGCACTAAAAATTATTGAAATCCAATCGCTGGATCACGAGACATCGATAATGAATCAAAATCAAATTTCATGTAACATTACAAATTTGATTGAGATTTATACGAATTTAGTCGACAAATTCTATAAGTACAGTATTAAAACTCAGATTTTTAAACACATCGATTATTAGAAGTTCTTTATAGTCTTGGACTAAACTAAACTAATACGAATATAATACAGATATCTGATTTTAACTGTAAATACTCTCGAATTAAATTAACGCGAATACAATGATTAGAAGGAAAGTATTTGAATTACTATACTCGGCTAAATTAATACGAAAAATGATTTAGAGGTAAATATATAAAACCTATTTCTGTACTCTTCAGCTAAATTAACACGAATGAAATGATTAAATAAATATATATTTAAAAAAAATTGCAGTAATGAATGAACGTTAGGACATGCACGCTAGCATATTTTATAAGTAATTATCAAATACTAAAATATGATTGGAGGAAATGATTGTACAACATGCGTAACCTGATTTTAAATTTTGGAATCTAGTTCATACTCTACTAAAGAATGGCAGATAGATTTGATCCTGATTCTTTACTAGCCTTGGAAAAAGCTTTTCTCAAAGTATAGTCTTATTTCACATACATCGTGATTATTTACAATATTTATGCAATAATTTACACTCTTACGCACTAGGTACCTCTTGTACAGCTTAGAGGCTCTTCTACGAAGGCTTATAAGAACTTTGAAAAGGAATCCAAGCATATTCAAACACAGATCAAACAACTACAAAATGAAATTGCTTTAAATAACAAAGTTGATGCTGACAAACTTAGGGAAATTCATGAAAATGTCGAAAAGTGGTTAGGAAGTTCAAAAATGGAGGTACATTTATTAAATTTATTTTTCCACAAGGTTCTATGAAGCGACAAATTTAATTAAATCAGGTTTTCTTCTTAGTTTCTTGAAACTCATAGAGAAGGACAAAAACATGTCGCAAGAGGCCGACAGCGTGTTGACCATCTCGCTGAAGTATCTCTAATAACTAACGTTTATGATCCGAAATACAAAGAATGGACTGGAAAACGAGCAGATCGGGTTATCGTTGATTATTTATTGAGGGAAGGATTTCGTGATACGGCAATCCAATTGGCTAGTGAATCCGATATTGAGGTATATTTTAAAAATTGGTAAATTTTTTAATATATATATATATTGATCTGATTGAATTATTGCTTTTTATAGTCACTAGTTGATATTGACCTATTTACAGAAGCACACGTTATTGAACAAGCTTTACGAAAAAATAGATGTACAGAGGCTTTAAGATGGTGCAATGAAAATAAGAATAGCTTACGGAAGATAAATGCAAGCAAAGAATATCATTTATTGGCAATATTACAGTATATTCCATTCCTTTTTTAACTTTTTGATTTAAATTACTTTAAACAGAGCACCCTTGAATTTCTTCTTCGAGTGCAAGAAGTTATCGAGTTATGTCGCGAAAATAAGAGGGAGGAGGCGCTTAAATATTCCAAAGAACATTTCAAAGCTTATATAGATGTTAATAAAAAGGGTGCACAAAATGCTAGAAAAACAGAATCTCAGTCTGGATCTATTCGGAGACGGGATAATGTTAAAACAATATCATCTGATGACCCCCTTTATAAGCAATACCTTCAAATGATGGGAGCTCTTGCATTTCCACCTAATACAACTTGCAAGCCTTATAAGGTACGTTCACATAAACTCAAGAATCGCGCTGTTACTATTTCGAAAGTCTTTAGCCTATTATATATAATGTTTGACTTTGATACATAGGCTCTGTACGATCCTAGTCGTTGGGAACGACTAATTGCACGATTTCGAATAGACTTTTATGAGTTAAATGCCCTCCCATCTCAACCTTTATTGAATGTCACCTTACAAGCTGGATTGTCTGCTCTTAAAACACCAATGTGTTATCAACACGAAAATAAAAATATAGATTGTCCAGTATGTTCACCGGACACGCTTGGCGCTCTTGCAAAAGACTTGCCAATGAATCATCATGTAAATTCGACACTAGTATGCCGGATTAGTAAAAAGATTATGAATGAAGATAATTATCCTATGATTTTGCCGAACGGGTGTGCTTATTCTCGTGATGTAAGCTATCATATATGTAATATCTTTTTATTTGTTACGTATTTATTCTCCTAACATATTTTATCAAATTAAGGCATTAGCTGAGATGGCATCAAAAAACGACGACAAAGTTACATGTCCTCGCACTGGTGAAGTTTATGAATTTTCAAAGTGTAAAAAATTGTACATTTTATAGAACATTCACAAAGCATTTATCATTTTGCGAGAAGATATGCATGAACTGAGCAACAAATAATTTGTAACATTTGAGAATCTAGTTTTAGCAAAGGATTTAATTTTAATGTTAATGGCTTCTCATAAAATTGCACAAAATAAGATTTTTGTTTTTCTATCTGTAAATTTTTACAAATCTTCAATAGTTGCATTACTGTTAAGATGAGATTTTAATAAAATTTGGCATAAAGTATTTCTAATCTGTAAAATCTTTTTAGCTTGTATTATATATTTTGCAGTATTTATGAAAGTTTTGCTAATATTCAATAGTTAAGATATTGTTATTATAGTATGATTTGTATTGTATATGTCGTACGTCGGAATGGAATTATTGTAGATTCTAGGTTGATTCCGAATAAACATAGATTGTGATAGATGTGCCAGGGTCATTAAAAATTCCAATTCAACTTACAACAAAAATTATTCCAAATTATTTCATCAAGTACGTAGTTTTGGAATCTAAGTCGCTTTAAGATAGGATTTATTCATAACACAGTGCATTGCAAATTAATTAAAATTAAAGCATGACAACCAAGTTTTATATCTATGATTAGTAACTATTCCTACATTTTTATATATGCATTGTTGCAATTGCATTTAACATTACCTACTTGTGAAGGATTGCATAATAGATGATTTTGAATGCTTATGACATTGTAAGAATACTGAAACTTGTCAAGACACAATGAACACAAATAGGTTTAAGTCAAATTTAACAAGTTGTGTTTTAAGATCACGTATTGCAAATGGATTTTTTTGCCAAATAACGATCCGATTGTTATATTTACTGAATCTTGTAAAACCTTAATACAAAAACAAAAGTCTTCACGTAAGGTTTTATGTTGCCTATTTGCTGAAATATTTGGTTGAATACATTACGAGGTATGGATAATCTTGATATTTGGTCATCAGGTAGAGAGAATGCAAAGAAAGAAAAAGTGAAATTAAAAAAAAAAAGAAATAAAAGATTTGTATTTTATCATATCATGATTTATTATAGTATCGGACTACGTACAATAATTTCGTTCTGATGTATGACATATATTTGATTCAATTACTACTACACAGAAGAAAAAATCTAAAAACTTACAATTTAATTGATTAAATGTTTAAGTAGCATATCTATTAGTTATTTTGATATTGAGCATGCCTTCTAATTTCTAGATATATATATACTTAAAAATCACGATTCACATATTTTCTTATTATTTTAAACTGATTAAAACCGGATTTAAAAGCGGCCAAATTTGAGACAGAATGCTGAATTCTGATTGGCTAATAGCTTAAAATTTTATTATGTTTTTTGAAATTTTATTATATTTTTTGAAATTTTATTATATTTTTTGAAACACTATTATGTTTTTATATATATGTGGCCAAATTTTTATTTTATTAATAACTTCAAAAGGATATAACTCTATTAAATATTAATTAACTAAAAAAATA